CGGCGGCCCCGGCCCTGCCCCCGCTTCTGGCGGGAACCGGAGCCTCCCGCGGGGCGGGGCGGGGCGGGGCCTGGGCGGGGCGGAAATGGCGTAGCCCTGCGCGCAGGCTTCTCGCCTGAGTGGGACGTGTCGCCCTCGCTGTTTCACTCAGATGCTCCCTCCTGACTCTGTCCAGCCAGAACCCTGCCCAGGACCCACGGGTTCAGGTCCTTGTGAGGAAACCGTCCTTGGTAGAGACCTCCCACTGTAGAGCCAGCACGGGTGCTTCCTGACCCTCCTGCCCTTTCTGGGGTGGTGCCCGGCCTGGAGCTGGTGAGGATGGGCAGTCTGAGCGTTAGCTGAGGAGCCCTGATGCTCCACAATGCTTCCTCAAGTCGGGGCTTCGTTCACCAGACCCAAATTTGGGGACAGGGGGACCATACAGATTAAGGAGGTTAGACACCTGGGTAGGCTGCTCTTCTATTTCAGTCGTAGGAATACCTTAAACGATGAGCCACCACCAAAGATACCTGCAGGTCAGTCCATTCTTAACAGCTCTGTGTCCCCTATGTCTGTTCTGGTAGCTCATTCTTTTGTCTTTTCGGGACAACTGCTTCTCCTAGGCCTCTGCCTCTCTGGGCTTCATCATCCCTGTTGAAGTCAGGGGGAAACAAGAATCATAACTTCCGAATTGCTGTGCTTCCCACTTTTCCCTGGACAAAAGACGATAGCCATTACAGTGTTTTCAAGGCTGCGGGTGCTCCCCTCACCCATTTATTTTTCAGTGTCTTGATGAAGGGGGCATTCTCTAAGGCCCCTCCTGGAGGTCAGAGGAGTGGGCAAGCATGTCACACATCATGAATCCAGTCCAATATTCTCTCTCTAACTCTTCACATTCCTTTTCCTACATTAAACATGGAATTTCTGACGAATCACTCTTGGTAGCCAAGTGTGGGCCACCACTGAGTTCAGGTTTAAAACAACCACGTAGACATGTAGAATCACTCTCACCACTCACCTGCCTGAACAAGCAAACTGAATTCAGAATTTCTGGCAAGTATATCCTGGTATATTGGGCCCAAGCCTTCCTAATCAAGAGTCCTTAGAATCCAATCCTATACAAATACCCCAGTTTCCTTCTCCTGTAAATTAGCAAAATCTTGCAGTTCTTTTTGTAAGGAAGTTTCTCCTCCTTGGTTATCTTTGCACCTGTCTTTCTAGAGCATGCTGGGATCAGATTCAAGTTATTATGTCTACAAGCAGTGAAGACTGGTTAGGATGGTACAGGTAAAAAATTGGCATGCCTAATAACATAACTTCCTCAGATGAAGTCATTACAGTGTTTCTATGGTAGAGAGGATCAGCCTTATGAAATAGGAAGAAGCACTGCTTTTGTTAGCAAGGAAGCTTCAATATGGCTGGGGGTCAGAATGTTCTAAATCTGTCCAAATATGCCACATTTAAATTTTCAGGATCTCACTCTTTCCCAATCAATGCCTAACTTTTATGTAAATATTCTGATGAAGCTGTTAACTCCATTATGTTGAAATTCAACAACCCTCAAAATCATATACTGCATCTTATTTTCAACTACTTCAATCCTGCAGTTACAAGGGCTATGAAATTATTTCAGGGAAATCAAAGAAGCTTTTAATCCAAGAAACTAAAATTTGAGATTGCCATTTTCTTTCTTTAAAATCTTCAGCGCAGGGGCTGGCTGGTTAGCTCACTGAGTTAAAGTGTGGTACTGATAACACCAAAGCCAAGGGTTCAGATCCCCTTAACTGCCAGCTGCCAAAACAAAACAAAACAAAATCTTCAGGACAATAATAAATAATGAGCCCTCTCCACAAGTCCTTGTATTCTTCATTTCCACAATAACATCTATTGGGACAGCCTATTTTCTTTTAATGAACTGTGAAAGGCAGAGTGCAGCCTAGTGTAAGACTTCAGAAATTCTGGGAACTGCAGACACAAAGCAAATTTGCACCCACTCACAGGTCTTTCTCCACAAACTTCCATCAGGTGTTCATGAAAAAGATAAGGGGAAAGAGATCAAAGAAAGACCACAGTGCAGTCTTTGGGGAGGTGAGCAAAAGCACTGTGGGAAAAACATGAAGACTGGCCTGGACCCATCTACTCTGTTTCCTAGCCCCCCTTCCAATGAAAACAGTCTTATGCCATGAGAGAAGAGGAGGCAGAAAACTCTTTTCACTTTCAGGGCACAGGTAAAAGCCTATTGTAGTTGGGTGAAGAGAACATAAAATAACCACTACCCCCAAGGAAGGAGCAGGAAACTGTTTGGGGGTGGTGGTGTTTATTTTGTTTTGTTTGTTTGTTTTGGTGGCTGGCCAGTATGGGGATCTGATACAGTTTGGATGTGTTGTCCCTCCAAAACTCATGTGGAAATCTGATCTCCAACTTGGCAGTGTTGGGAGCAGTTTGGGTTATGGGGCATATCCCTCATGAATAGATTAATGCCCTGAGGGTGGGGTAGTGAGTGAGTTCTTGCTCTATTAGTTCCCCTGAGAGCTGGCTGTTTAAAAGACCCTGGAACTTCCTCTCTCTCTCTCTCTCATTCTCTCTCTCTTGCTTACTCTTGCCATGTGATCTGTTTGTACCTGCCAGCTGCCTGCCATTTTCCACCATGAGTAGAGGAGCCTGAGGCCAGAATCATGAGCCAAATAAACCTCTTTTCTTTATAAATTACCCAGTCTCAAGTATTCTGTCACAGCAACACAAAAACAGACTGATACAGAATCCAAACCCATAACCTTGGTGTTATAAGGCTGTGCTCTAACTAACTGAGCTAATCAGCCAGCCCCAGGAAATTGTTTTGGACCACACCTTTAAAGATTCTCTATGCTGGGAGAGGGGCTAGGGCACTGAGAAGGCTCCATCCCTCAGATCCAGGAACATAGCACCTACCTAATAATGAGGCTGAACCAGAACAACAAAGAAAATTCCACCCTTCCCCCAACTACCAGGCTAGCAAATGTCCAGGAACAAGCAACTGCAATCTACTGCTGGAGGAGGGAGTAGAAGCATGGAGAGACATCCTCTCTGAGGATGGGTACAAAGAGAAGATCAATAGCTGAGAGTGGAACAGACACTGAGAAAAACTCTCCAACAAACCAGCCACAACTCTAAGCAAAAAATTACACTAAAAGAATTTGAAGCCTGTGCTTTTTGAGTGTAACCACAGCCACAAAAAAACCTGACATGATTGTTTCAACATTCCTCCCTAAAGAAAAGGCACACCCATTTCTGAGCATAGAGTTTACCTAAATCTCCACAGCCTTCACAAGATGACTAGCTTTCAAACAAAAATGACGAGGCACAAAATGAAAAAGTAAACAATACACTATCAAGTGATAAACCAATCAAAAAAACCAGACTCAGCTATGACATAAATTTTGGAACTATCACACATAGAGTTTAAAATACTATGATGGGCCTGCTGGGGTCCTGAGGCTTGGAGCCAGGGGAAGCCAAACCCAGTCACAAGTAGGCATGCTGCCACCACCACCACTGCTACTGCCCTGGGACCCCATCAGGGTCCTGAGGCATGGAGCTGGGGGAAGCTGAACCCAGCTGCAACCAGGAAAAGAGCACACCAAAAACACCATTTCCACGTGGGTAGCCCACCACAATTGCCATGGCTGCTGCAAAAGTGGCTAGTCTCTATAGCAGCAGTCACAGCCACTGTGCAGATAGCACACCAGACTCTCAATTGTATTGACACAAGGAGAGTCACCAGCAGAGACCAAAAAAAAAAAAAAAAAAAGAGGTCCTCTTTCTCCACAAAGCACACTCCAGAGTAATAGAAACATCTGATTTACGATAATAGGGGAGGACTTGATCACACCTGTCTCAGTACTGGACAGATCATCTAGGCAGCAGCTCAACAGAGGAACAGTTAATCTATCAGATGGAGAGAACAAATCTATGGTTATTAGAGTGGGGAGGGGGAAAGGAGAGATTGGATAAGGGGCATAAAGAATAAGTATGATTTGTAATAACAAATAGGCTAAAAAATTAAAATACTATGATGAATGTATTTGTAGACTCTAGTTCCTAGGTCAACAAACATTTTCTATAAAGGACCTGATAGCAAATATTTTAGGACTTATGAGGTGAAATCGAGGATATTATGTAGGTTTTTACTTAACAAGAAGGAAACTTTCCCACAAAAATACAGGAATAAAACTAATTGAATATAATATTTTGTAATACAGATCTACTAACAAAAGAACAGAAATCTTTTAGGGGGAGAATAACAATTTACTTAATTAGGGTTCAAGTTAGTGCTCTCTATTGTCAAAATCAAATGCACATTTTCTGTTACTGGCGAGCTGTAACTTTTTATGCATTTCATCTTTAAAAATTTCTTTTCATGCAAGCAGCTGCTGCCAAATGCTGATATTAATCCATGAATATATGGACTGAATTGAGCATATTCTCTACTTGGAAGACATTTATTGAATTCTATTGGATTCTTCTCTTGTTATTTGCCTTTTAGCATGT